ATCTAGTCAGTCTATAAAAGGAATTATACAAGATAACGTTTAGTAATTGTTTTAAGAGAAATTATAATTAATTTATCAATTTCAAAAACTACATTATTCGAGTTTAAAATTATCTGAAGCACCTATAATTAACTGTCTATACCCTCATGTTAAAACAGGCCACGATGAGTTTTCATAGGGCACTATGTAATGGAAAGCAAGAAAGAAGTGATTAAACTCAGAGTATGGGAACATAGTTGAGGCAACTTTCTTAATTTCTCTGTGCTTTTGGTTTCTTCATGAGAGTAGCACTTCCTACCCCTAAGATTTTTATGAGACTTAAGAACCTACCTAGTACATCTTTTAAATCCGCAGACTTGTGCTTGGCTTCAAGTCAACACTACATAAATATCAGCTGCTGCTGCTACTTCTTATAGTCAGTTAGCATCAGGATAAATATAAAAACAAAGAGAAGAGAGTCCCAAAGCCACCACCCAAGAAAAAAAGCCATAGACAAGGAATCGTTTCCTAAGCAACAGATAGTTTTCATTTCCTTGAAGTGCCCAGTCTCATTGGGGAAAGTGGTAGAGGTGGACTCACGTAAGTTCTGTTATTAGAACTGTGTCTGTGCCTTCCTGCCTCTGTGGGAAAGTGGGCGAGCACAAGGCAGGCAAAGGCAGTGAGCTTGGAGAACCACCAAGAACAGCATTAAGATCTAAATTGTGGCACTGTGCTTTGGAATACAAGCTACTGGAAGATTGTCTTGTCAGGAAAATCTCCATTAAAAAGAGGCAACAGTTGACATGAAGACATCACCAGAAACAATTCTATTAACAAACAGGGGACAGAGCAGAGAAACACCATCAGTTCCTCTCACAGCAAGCTTCAAAACTGTAGGAAACTCCAAACTAAACTTATTTTTCAGTGTCCTAAACTGTGTTGTGTTCAGAAATAGTAATAAAATGCCTTGAAACAAGTCCAGACAGCAACAGATCTGTCTGGTAGATCTCTCTGAAGATCTGCTATGCCAAGCTGTAGTTCACCAACTAATTCAATTCCAAATGAACCAAAATAATAACTTATTTCTAGGTACTGATGAGATGGGTTAGCAACCAAGAGCAATTGCTGCTCCTCCAGAGGACTCCAGCTCAGGTCCCAGCTCGCAGGCCAGGTGGCTCCCAATCACCTGTAACTCCAGGTCCCAGAGATACCCTTCCCTCTTCTGACTTCTACAGGGACCTTTATACACACACATACACTCACATAAACAAAACCAAATTTATTTTTCAATCTTATTTCTGATGATATACATGATACTTATGAAAGATTCTAAGTTCTCTATGAAAAAGTGAATGAGAATGTCAAATATTTTAACATGAAGATTAAAAATGTTTAATTTTAGTGCAGATTTTCTGCTTGATGAAAGAAGCCATCAAAAGAATAAAGTGATGCCCTGAACAACCCCTTACAAAGAATACATCAGCTAGTCTCCTGATAGATGTTCTTGCCAATGAATTAGCAGGCCAATCACAATACTCACCCAACCTCCAACCCCAGCCTTCCATCCTACATGGTAAACGATGTCCTCCTAAGCAATGGTCATAGCCATGACAACTCTGACCACTGAGAGTCAACAAGACATTTTCTGAGAGATTTTAGCAATGAAAATTTCTGGCTCTAAAGAAAGAGTCATGAAAGCCAAAGCCTCCTTCTCCACCTGCAGGCTTATTCAAGAAAGCAGGCTTCCAAGGTCCACTGATAGCCATCTTGAAACCACAAGATATCTAAGCCTTGGAATGACAGTACTTGTAATTTCATAATAAGAGCTGCTGACTCACCCAATGGCATTCCTCTTTTACAGACTGTCAAATGGATGTCCTTAGTCTCAGGGCCATTTGTAAAACCATCCTAATTTACATGGCTTACTCTCCAAGTCTATCATAGTGATAGAACTAACTCCCAGACAAACCAAAATACAACCCAGAGTCTTTTTTAAACAGACAAATCTTGACAGTTAAAAAGAAATATTCTAACACTTCTCAAAGAACTTCCACATATTCTTCTTTATATGGTCACCAATAAAAGGTAATTAATAAAATATTATAGACACATCAAACTCTCAAGTTGGCATAAAGTTTTACTTTAGAACCCACTTAGTTTATAGGCACCATGACTTCTTTACAACACAAAAGATCATAGCTTCATAGAATCTAAAATATTCACGACAGCTATATAATTTAAAGAATCACTAAAGGAGGAAAAGGTGAAGTTTTTGATGTGATTGAATTTAGCTTTAAAAACATCTTTAAGCCAGGTGTAGTGGCACAGCCCAATCCCAGCACTCAAGAAGCTAGAGTACAATGATCCCAAGTCTGAGGCCAGCCTGAACGCCAGCAGTGAGAAACAAACAAGCAAACAAACAGAACAAACAAAAACCAGTTTTAGATCTGTAGAATCTGCTGCCAAGTAGTAAGCTAGAATGGACTTGAAGAGCTGAGGCCCCAGCTCAGCGCTTCAGACTTTCATAAAGCGTACACCCATATTAAATTCAATCTCCAACACCAACATGGAGTGGGGGGCTTGGTTTAAGGTAGTCTGAGCTACAGAAATGGTTCAGTGGATAGGGTGCAAATGAGAAGACCTAAGTTCTGGATCCGCAGAACTCAAGTTCAGTGAGACAGTACACATATGTTATCCCAGTGTCAAGGGAAAACAGGAGGTAGGAGCCAAATGCAGTTTGGGAATGTTATGTTGAACAGACACACAAGTGTATAATTAGCTCTTCAGACCCTACTTAAATTTATTTATGGTATGAGTTAACCTTAAAAGAACTGTGACACTGTTACCCTAAGGTGTGAGAAACAGTATCTATCTGATATGTCATACAACAGGATACGTTCTTTTGGGAATCATGGGAGCTTTATCATTGTACAAGTGTAAACCTTAAAATACGTATTTTACAATGTGCATACACAAATTACTTAAAAGTATGTAACTGCTGACTAGTCTTAGGACTATGAGTGTCAAAAGACTTTCCGCCGAGGCTTCAGGATGGCTAACTGGTCTCCACAAACCCCCACACTTCTTGGCCTTGTCATCTAGGGGCTAAGTAGGCTAAGTATGCCACTAACGAACCACGAACTAAAAACACATGTCATGTTCAAAATAAGCAAAAAGAAATCCCCCCTTCTTGGAGACAATCTCCCCCAAACTCAAAGGCCAGCTAGCCTGGTATACACGATAGCTGTGAAAACAAAAAGACCCCATTACAAACAAGGCCGAAGGTAGGGCCAACACCTGAAACTCTCTTCTGACCTCTATGCACAAACCACAGCAAGCACTATGTGTGTTAGCACACACAAACACATACACTAACGTGCACACATATCACATACACAAAGAATGGACTGGCCAGCTTGCAGAGAAGCCGAAATTATTTATCTTGTCCATTTATGATATGTCCAACCTCACCAGACTACAAAAACTGCTAAATACAAATGAAGACGTCTCCGGAAAGCAGTAATTTTACAGCAGCCACAAGGCGAGCTGGCAATAAAAGAAGTTAGTAACAGCTGTACACTGGAATAAAGGGTCATTAAAAGCAGAAGGAGCAAAGGGAGGAAGCAAGAACCATGGAGGCTTTACATGAAGGTCACAGAGTCACTAACACATGCACAGACCAGTTGTTATATGAAGCAGTTTCATACTTTTATGAGATTGCTTTGTGACCTGCAAAACACACATGAACAATGATAAAGCTCTCATGATCCCCAAAAGAACTTAACCTGTTATATGACACATCTGATGAGCACCAGTTCACACACCTTAGGTTAACAGTGTGATAGTTCTTTTACGGTTAACTCATACCGTAAATACACTATAAATTTAAGTAGGGGCTGAAAAACTAATACACACACATGCGTATGTGTTCAGCATAACATTCCCAAACTGCACACAGGATATGGCTATGCCCGGAGAGAGAGACAAGTGAACAAACTTTACCACACAGAGGACAATGGAAATGATTTCGCTAACTCAAAGAGGTTCCTTAGAACCTTGGATTTCTTCTTGCAGGCTGGCAAACTGGATCAGAGCTGTAGTTCCAGGAGACCAGAAACAAAGCACATACAAGTTCTGGAGCCAAGAATGTGTGTGATTTCCTACCTAAAATTAGCCTTGCCTATTTCACCACAGCTGGGCTGGGCTCCTCTATTTTAAGGTGCGCAGAGCCAAATTACCTAAGAGTATGTAATTGCTGACTAGTCTTGGGACTAACAGACTTTCCGCTGAGGCTTCAGGATGGCTAAATGGTCTCCACAAAACCCCACTCTTCATGGCCTTGCCATCGAGGGGGCTAAGTAGGCTAAGTACGCCACTAATGAGCCATGTACTATTCACAGCCATGAAGACATATCATGCACGAAGTAAGCAAAAAGACATGCCCTTCTCCTTTGACTGAGAATCCACTGCCAGATACACACACAGAGGTGACACAAAATGGACACAACTCACAATACTTTAAAATGTAAACATCTGTTTTTCCAGAACATTGTATAAAGCCAACAACAAAAACCTTCCAGTTATGTCATACATGCCCCCCAAATGCTATGCAACTAGAATAAATCCAACAGAAGGGGCTGCTCAGTCTATACACCCCAGGAACATCAGAAGGGACTGGTGAAGGTCCCATTGGTACTATCAGGAGAACTTGCAGCTGACTTTTCAAACACAGATGAAAGAAAATGAAAAGGCATACCTTCTTACCATGAACAAGGGCAATTTTGTCAACAGGGAATAAAAACTGAGCTGTAAGTTGAAATCCAAACTGCACCGATAACACCAATGATTTCTACAACCCTGAAGCAAAGACCTAGCGTCTATTTTATTACTAGCAATTTGAGATACTGGAATAGACACCAGGCGCTATCAGGTTCCTGATGCTATCATACTCCAGCAGAACACAGAATTAACACTTGTTTTGACATACTCGATTACACTAGGAAATAAGAGAACACACATACCTTCATCTTCAGAGGCCTGACATTTCACTTTCAACACCAAGTCAAAAGTTCTTTCTGGATTTTCCCTAAAATGAAAAGAATCTTGTTATATTTACTTTACACAGCAAGTAAGCACTATCTATAAAGCTTCTATACAATGCGGTCTCTGTACACATGGGCTTTTGTGGCCTAAGGACTGAACACAGAGCATGTTCATATAAACAACGCTATCTCCATACTGACTGATTTCTAAACCTGATCCTGCTCCTGCCTCGGTGGACTCTGTGATTTTCCCTGACTAGGTAGCAGAAACATAAACGAAAATGTTTTATCAGCTTGATAAGAATTAAAGTTCAGACTTTGGAGTTCTGCATCTGGGGACAAAGTATTTCACCTGTGAAACTGCTTCCTCGCCTACCATGTACCTGCCTACCTCAGCGTGACTGTGAGGATTCGACATCAAAACAATATGAAAACACAGGATAGAGCAGTACTTTCCACAGCGCCAGGTCAAAACTGGAGAGCCGGGGCACCCCTGCGCTGCCGCAAACCAGCGCAAGCCGTAGGGCTCTCTGCAAAGCAGCTGCTGTGAACACAGAGGACTGAAAACCTGATCCCTGCTGTGCTCCACAGACAGGATGCCTGCACATGCCTTTCCTGAGATGGTCTTTACTACACTCAAACGTGTTTGAAGTAGTGAGCTGTCCACACACTCCATGCTAACAAAACCTAACAAAAATTATTTTCTTTAAATTATCTGTAAGGGATTTGGACAATGACCTCCCCATTAAAACCCCAACCGAGAAGAGAAAATTTGCTTCATTTCCTTTCGAAGTTAATAGTTTGGGGGTTTGTTTTGTGTTGTTCCTAATTTCTTATACATTTGGCCTACTTATTTGTTAAATTTCAAATGGTAAACTGAAATCTACTGAGATACCTACAACAAATAAGACTCTGCTGCTGTAATGTCTCTTTCCATCAGAAGGTGTAAGATTAAGTCTGGGGATGTAGCTCACCATTACATAGCCTCTGCCCTAGAGTGCTCAAAGCCTTGGGTTTGGTCACAGTGGGAGGGGAGGTATGGGGAGCTGGTAAAGTAAAAGGCATCTCAATGCAAAAAAGTAGTGGTGTACATTTCAGCTACTTCTGGGAGGGCTGGCACGCTGGCTTTTTTAACATATGCTTTCTTCAAGATATCCGTGCTACTTCTCACTTCTAAATATTGATTTTATATATACATACGTGTCAGTGTGTGTGTGCGTGTGTATGACATGCATTTAGAACCACAGGGAAAGCCAAGCCATACAAATGTCCACTTCCTCATCCCACCCGCTATTAACTTGTTTCACGGGTATAAAATGGGCTCGGTGATTTTTTTATTATTATTCCCTTATAATGCAATTAATTGTCCAAAAAGTAAGCAAGCTTGTTTTACTCACCCTGCTCTCTACGTCGTGAGCCACTAAAGATTTCTAAATTGTGTAACATTTCTATTTCCATGGGATGTTTAGAATTTGTCTTAGGTAAAAAAACACTCAGTTACACTTTTATACTTCTCTGCAATCCAACGGGCCTTTCAGGGTGGCACAAATATACATAGTGAGTAGAACGGCAAGAAAGGGGGCGGGAAAAAAAAAAGACGGGATCTCTTCCCAAAGTAAAGTTTCAGAAGGAAAAGCAACAAACACCCATCTCTAAGACACCTCGAAGCAGGGCCACCACCGCTATTCAAATTGCTTTTTACCTACACCCTACAAGTAAAATGGCCAATGATGAGGAGCCACCTTAGTGCACAGCCCACTCTGCAAGCGGCGCACAGAGCGGCTGTATAAACAGACGCCGCTTTCCTTTCCTACGGAGGGAAAGCATCCCAGACCACCCTGGAAAACCACCCCAGGGAGCCAGGGCGACCCTAACGCCGGGGTGCGGCTTCCTACCCCCGCTCGCTGAGCCGCCCGGCGCACGGCCGCGCGGCCCGGGGAAGCAGGGTCTCGGGACCGGCAGGCTTTGCGGCCTAGCGCCGAGCGCCGCGCAGCGGGCCGGACCGGGCAGGCCGCACCCGGGGCGGCGGACGCCGGGCCCCGCCGCCGCTCACCTGGTCCTGCGGTCCATGGTCACATGTCGCTGCGGGGCCGCCGTCGCCCCGCGCCCGCACCCCAGCACGCCGCCCGGGACGCGCTGCTCAGAGCGGCGGCCGGTCCGCGGCCTCGCGGGGACAGCACCGCGGCGACGCCGCCCCCGCCCCCGCCCCCGCCTCTCGGTTCCCGCGACCCGGCCGCCGGCGGCTCCGCCACCTCCTGCGAACCAGGAAGTCGGCGGGCGGGGGAAGGGGCGCGCGGGGACGCGCCCTGCGGCGGCACCTGGCCGCGCGGCCCGCGGACGGGACCTGCCCTCCTGCTGTCCTGGGCACTGGCTCCCGCGGCCGCCGTCCTGGAAAAGCGCTTCTCCAGCCCCGGGCGTCCCACACCGCGACTTCCATTCTTTGCAAACCGGGAGCTGGGGTTGCACGCTCCGGCTTCTGCCTCGCTCCCGCTGTGCGTGGCCCGGTTAGTGCTCTCTGGAAGCCAGAGCCGCCTCCTCCTGATTCAGGAATGTTCAGACTTATGCACCTGCTAAACAGCTCTGCCAAATAGCTCAAGGAGAGGCTGCAGTTGCCTGCGCATATGGGAAACACATTCCTGCTGCAGACACTGACGCACAGCCAGAGAGTTAACTTTTGAACACACAGTGGCAGGCCCCCCCAGAGTGTCGTTCTAGGGGAGTTGAGAGGGCACCACGGAGGATGGAGGAGGTGGGACCTGATTTCTACAACTCCAAAGCATGTGTTCTGTAAGCAGTGATAAACACTGGCTGGGTGTTTTCTACACCTGCCCTACAGGTGCCTTGATCGTCACCTCACAGAGCAAAAGACTGGATCTGAGCTAAGCAGTGGGCAGTGGCAAAGCTGGAATCAAACCCAGCCCGGCTGTTACTGACTCTTTAACGTGGCTTCTTATGGCCTCTTCTGCTATCTCAAATTTGGGATCTACTAAGACACATTTAGAAAGATTTATGGTGGACATTGAAAACATTGTCCAGGGCTGGAGAATCACACAGACTCCCTAGGGACTGGGGAGTGAACGCTAGCTAGCCTTCTTTCAGCTAGCATTCACCTTGACGAGGCCGTGACTGTCATCCAGCGAGGGTTTCTTCAGTCTGTAGCCACACGGAAAGTACGAGAATGAGGAAACCAAGTGTGGTATGAATGCAGTATGAGTCATGAGACATAGAAGTCAGACAGGGAGCCTTGGAAAATAAAGAATAGATTTGATCTCTAACTTCCCTGTCAAAAGTGATGTTGCTCCTTCAACAGAGCGAACCATACTCCACAGCCACAAGCCTCTTATTTAAAAATGAGACCCTAATGTAACTGAGAAACAGAACAGAAAAACACTGTATTTGTGAATACAGTGTTGTCATAACTTAACTTGGTGTGGGATGTTTAACTTCAGTTTCTCGCTTCCTACATTCGTGAAATGGGAATTATTAGTTTCATATCACATGAATACTGTGTTGTTCAAGTTTAAAAGTGCTATGCTTCTTGTGAGACATTTGGAGAAACCGGTGAATTTCGATTTCACAATTCGGCCATGGACACCATGTAATTTTGGTTTTCCCATATAAAGTTTTTTGCTGCCTAACAAGTTGAACTCAACTGTGTAAAGTAAAAACCACTTCTGTCCCAAGTGTTACTGAACTGAGTGAGTTTCTCCTTTCATGATAATTAATTCTTCTCCAAAGAAAAGAATCCTGCCTAGGGTGCCCATGTCATGAATTCTTAGTCTGTGGTGAGAAAACAATAACAAGTGTTTCACCATCCATTGTTGAGATTATGTGTAGAGTGACAGTCATACCACTGTACAACCTTAAGATTGTTACTTACTCAAACCACACTATGTTAGCATATAGGCAGCCTGCCTCTAGGTTGCTTAGCAACCTGTGACATCATCAGCTGTAGCCTCTGTGTGTGTGTCTGTCTGTCTGCTTCTCTCTCCTCTCCCCACCCCCATACAGTATATCTCTTCATTCCAGATAGGTTGAGTATGGCATTTTTAAATATATTATTATTACAATGATGATGTTAACATGTCTAAAGTTTATCTCCTTTGTAAAATTAAAAGGGATTCTAGTAAGGAAATCTACCTGAATCTGTCTCGCTGGTCAAATAGAATCCAGATAATTACTGACAATCAACAGGACTAAGTTTCCCAAATATCTCCTATCAGAGGGTAGAATTTCTCCCTCTTTCCCTGGTTTTGGGACTCCCCTCCCCCAACTACCTGATTGCTACATTCCTGGACCCAACACCTGCTGATTGGTGAGTCTTCCCCTCTGGTTGGCATAAATGCTTCCTGGTGCTCTTGCTAACCTACATCCAAACCCTTCATCTAGGACCTTCTCCTCTGAGATCCTCTCCAGCACAGTTTCATCTGCTGAAAACCCTAGTACTAGGTAACCATATCTGTACCAGGCAACTGTGCCCGTGACAGTGACAAACTGTTGAACAGATTATACTGTTCCATCTACTCAAGTCAAACCTTGCCCTTGGGGTGCCTCAGATAGGTCACTGACTTCTGCTCTCCCCAGTGGGAACAGTCCATTCACCCGTCTCTCCAGGCTCCCCTCTGGATGCCTTCCCCATGCCTAGCACCCTCTTTATGGGCTTCCAAGCTTACAGGCCTCTGCACCAACTTGGCCTCAATATCCCTTAGATGACAGATCCAAAACAGGACATTTTTTTAATTACTGCCAACAATCATGTAAATGGAGGTTCCCTATGTTCAACGTTTTTTCTCTTCTTCACTCCATCTGCTCACTCTCTCAAAAGTTTCAAATGTACACCTAAAAGAAATTTTCTCCTTAACAACTTATTGTCTTCTGCCCATATATATGTTCCAGTATCCTGCCAGATTTCCTACATCCAAGATATCACCAAAACAGCTACCCACACATGCTCCAGTCTAACCTTGAAAACTGTGTCAAGCTGGACCTGCACTTTCCCTCCCAGCCACAGATGGTCTCACAGATCCTAGACAGCAGCAAAACAACCTGCTCTTCCTGGACTTGGACAACATTTCAGTTCAGCCTTTGGATCTCCTATTGCTGCCCTAATATCAGCAGGAAATACCCAGGGACGATTGATTTCTTCACCCCTTATCCATTTATTATCAACAAAAGGTTGGAATGATGTGCTTTAGATCTGGGACAAATATCTTCAGGTTCTCCCAGCATTCTCAGTCCCTATCTGTTGCAGGGCATGGCTGACATACCCCACCCTCTACCCTAAACTTTCCAGGGAAGGGACTTCCCCTTCTCCTTCCCCATATAATCTGAACATTTTGGTCTCTTACTTTTTTTTTCCCTCACTCTCCCTGTTACCCTCTTGTACGGCCTCCAAGAGTTGCTTCCAATGCTTTAATTTGCCTTGCATGAGAAGCAGTCCAATATTCTCATCCCTGCCTTGCCACTCCTCCCTAGCTCCTCTTTTTTTTTTTTTTTTTTTTTAATTATAGAAAAAAGGAGGAATGTTAGCATGTAGGCATCCTGCCTCTAGGCTGCTTAGCAACCTGTGATATCATCCGCTGTTGTCCAACAGGGGCTGGGGATAAAAGACCCACATCTTTTGCTTCTCTCTCCTCTCTCCTTTCTGCCTCTGTTTCTCTCCCTTTCCCTGCTCTCTCTTTCTCTTGCCCCCCCACAATCCCCTTCTTTCTCTTCTCCTATGCTTTCCCACTGTCTTTGTCCCTTTCTCTGTTTCTCTTTCTCTCTGTCTTTTCTCTCCCCCACGACTGTACAATAAATCTCTTTATTCCAGATTAGTTGAATTTGGCATTTTTAAATATATTATTGCACACTAAGCATATGAAGACAAGATACCACACACATTCATACTCTATACCAATCACATTTGAGGTTGACCACAGTGGAGAGTTTGCTATTATTGAATTGATTAAATAAGCACACATGAATATGATTTATATGCATAGTTTGTTATTACTGGGTAAAGAAGTTAGGATAAACCTATCATGGTGGCATGTTTATTAAAACCACTGGTATAATTTTGATAATGCTTCTTTCATGTAAAACACTATTACTAATAGAGAAGTTTATGGAAGGCAAGCTTTCCAACTGGTTGTTACCTTTTTCCCAAGATCGTATTTCAGCAAAAATATTTCCTAGTTGACAATAACATTTTTAGAATTGTAATAACTCAAGAACAGGTATTTTAGTATTGTCAAGGAGCACATAGCAGGGCCAGGCTGTAGATCAGTGGTAGGACATTTGCCTTCCATCTACAAGGTCCTGGTTTGATCCCCAGCACAGGAAGGGGAGAAAAAAAATAATACATTCTTCAGCTCATGAGTATGGTATATTCTAAGAATATGATCTTGATCTGGGCCTGGTAACTTGCCTGTAATCCCAGCACTCCAGGAAGCAGCAGCAGGTGGAGCTCTGTGAGTTCAAAGCCAGCCTCATCTACAAAGTGAGGACAGCAAAGGCTACACAGAGAAACCCTTTCTTGAAAAACAAAAAAATAAACAAACCTTAAAAAGAATATGCTCTTGGTGATGAATGTATCGATGTCCATTACTAAGTTTGTTTCTGCCTTCAATAAGAGGAGATGTGAAATAAGATTAATATGTCCATAGAACGGTTTATTTCAACTTGCAGTTCTGTCGTTTTTGCTTTATATAGTTTTTAGCTTTGGGTTTTCTGTTTGTTTGGTTTGGTTTGGTTTTTGTTTTGTTTTGTTTTGTTTTGTTTTGTGGTTTCTTGGCATTAGTATACCTCTTTTGATCCTTTACATGTAAACTCTCTAAACTGTTAGGTTTGAGCTTTTTCTTCAATACCTGATTGTGCCCACTTTTTTCGAGCTACACCCAAATGGTCTCTGCCTGACAGTTATTATTGACTGATGATGTGCAAGTACCCAAATCTCCTCTAGTGAGCCAGCTGCTGTTTCCCAAACTATGGATAACCACAGAAGTAAGGACTTACCTGCTCGATCCATGCAGAGATAAGCCTGGGAAGTAAAGAGCAATTAGGATGCAGGAGTGCTCCCTGCCAGCTCCTCCCCTCCGGGACAAAGAAAGATGGACACAGCTATGGACTCGCAAAGGTATTTAGAAAATACTTACATCACTAATGTTTCAGGGATAAGATGGTCCA